CAGTTTGAGATCGATTGGGTCATTGGATGAAGAGATATTTACAAAAAAAACGGGTCCACATGCATTTCATGCCAAACTATAGTATGCCTCTGCAACTACTCGTGTACTACTATTAGATGTACTACTACTACGCGACCTGACAAATGACCCCAATTTGCAGATATGGGAACGCCCTCCAGAACATTCCATTTGAAAAATGAGGGAAACAGGTTGTCGTCTAAAACTTGAAAAGTTCAATTTCCTCCTGCGAACCCCGTGTCTTTCAGTTTTTTTCGAAAGCTTTTCTTTGAACCCTGGTAATGCAATTGTAGTAGGCAGTTGCTCTTGTACTGGACTGTCAAAATCATCAAGTTTTTGCTTGGAAGTTTTGGGTTTGCGACTCTTGGTTGGACTAATTAAAGTAGGCACCTTCCGCTTTAATACGTTTTAAAGTTGCCTTGGAAAGACCAGTAGCAAGGCTACTTTTTGACATAGCGTCTGCCTTGGTTGCACACGTCTTTTCCATATAAATAATAACATTGTAGGCTAACGCCCTTGCCTGAGAATGAAAAATTTGCCCATGCTTCCCTAACTTGGACATGTTAAATAAATTAAAATATGCAAACATTCAAAAATTGACTCGTGTCAAGATGGTGTCTTGCTGAACTAAATCGCTCTACGAGACACGTGTTAAACAGAAGCGGTATTGAGTTCACGCCACGGTCAGCATGTATTGCACGTGCTTAATCGCCAATCTACCTGTAGCAACTCGGGCTTTGCAATATTACCGGCAAACCGGTATATACCGGTAAAGTATCTCGCGATACGATTATCGCGATATGGTTCAGATTCTGCAATATATTAGGTCATTCAGAGTTAGCTCCCTTTGAATTTTCTGCCCTTGATTTCCATAACAACAAAATGTGCTCTAAAAGTGCCAAATATACTTTTATTTCTGTTGGTTTCATGTAACACTTTACAAGTGGAAGTATAAGTGGCTCCAAAAGTGCCAAATAGTCTACCAAATACTTTAGGTTTTGTGGGTTTCAATGGTTTCATATGTGACATTTGGAGGAATTAAGTGGCCTCAAATGGACCAAGTTTGGTTTCATTTATCAATAGGGAACTTCACATTATTTTCGTTTGTTTCATAATGGGACATATTTTATCAATTTATCAGAAATGCCTAAGTCTTTGTAGGACTGTATAATGACATTCTAGTTAGGGATCTTAGTTACTGGAGGTCACATGAGATTTTAAGCTCAAGCCGTTCACCTAAATGATGTTTTTGCTTCATTTCCCAATGGTTCACGTTAACACATGTTTATATTGGAGTTGAAACAGAATGAATCACTGACATACAGTAACGATAATTACAAACTGCATTGAAGTGCATATTCTATTGAAGCAAACAGCACTGACCATGTACATCATGTTATACTACCACCGTCATCATTATATTCTCAAAACTTTGATGCAATAGGTCAATTAGACATTCCACAATAAAGTTCTATATCATTTTCATACACATTCAGTCATACACAATGAGGACGGTGAGCCTGAAAGTGGGGTTCAATAGCAACTAAGAACATGACAAGACAAGTTTATTTTTCTCAAAAAGCACCCACACGTTAGTGTTTGTTTCTAGCTGTTTGTTTTTTTGGGTTTTTTTTGTTGTTTTTTTGTTTTGTTTGTTTGAAAATGAAAATCGCACACATGCAAATTTCACGTCATACACCAATTATCTTTCTAGAGCGATTACTGTACAAACAACTATGGTCAAACGGAAGTGCAGGTGGTGATGTGCTCTCTAAACATTCATTATTATCATATCAACATTGATTGACACCACATTGATATCTCCCATTTTTTCAGTCGTAGATTAAAATGAGGTTTCCTTACTTTTTTATGAGTATAGCCCTCTGTGTACGGCATCATTTTCTTAGTTGCTGTTACAGTATACTTTCACGCTCCCCGTCCCCATTGTGTAATGGCTGTATGCCGATGGTTTACAAATAAATGATATAGAGTCTTAATATGGAATGTTTAATTGAAATATTGCAACAAAGTTTTGCGAACATAATAATAAAGGTAATAGTAGGGCTGGGACGGGTAACCCGGATACCCGGGACGGGTGGGTAATGAGTTGTACCCGGGTACCCGTCTCAATACCCAGACCCATTATGATCATGTGACTAATAGATTAAACAATGTAATATATTATTCTTCATGATTAACAGGTTGTATTGTCTTTATAGATTTAGACATAATTACAGTCACCTTTTTTTAATATAATACATGATTAAGATATTGAAAACTCGAAATTTTAGCCTCCGAGCTGAGGAATATATTGCAATTTTTTACAAATTTGATGTCAGGAATTAACATAATGGGTATCCGGGTAGGGTGGGGATATAGTGGGTGGGGTACCCGGGATGAACATTTGTACCCGTCCCAGATCTAGGTAATAGTATAACATGATTTTCATGGCCAGTGTTGTTTGCTTCAACAGAATGCACTTCAAATGTCTTCAGTGCAGTAAGTAATTATTGTTACTGCATGTCAGTGATTCATTCAGATTCCTCAACTTCAATATAAGCATGTGTTGCAAAATGAAACAAAACATGATTTTGGTTAACTACTTGAGCTTAAGATCTCATGTGAGCTCCACTAAGATCGGTGACTAGAATGTCATTATACAGTCCTACAAAGTTTATAAGACTTAGGCCTTTATGATAAATTGATGACATATGTCCTGTTAGGAAACAAACAAAAATAACAAAATAATGTGAATTGTGAAATGGTCACAAATAAGTCCAAAAACAAAACTGGTCCATTTGAGGCCACTTAATTCCTCCAAACTGTCACATATGAAACCATTGAAACTCACAAAACTTAAAGCCTTTGGTAGAATATTTGGAAGTTTTGGAGCCACTAATAAAGACACTTCCATTTGTAAAATCTCACATGAAACCAACAGAAATATAAGAACATTAATTTTGGCACTTTTAGAGCACATTTTGTTGCCATGGAAATCAAGAGCAGATAATTCAAAGGGAGCTAACTCTGAATGACCCAATATATTGCAGAATCTGAGTCATATCGCGATAAAATCGCGAGATACTGTACCGGTATATACCGGCTTACCGGTAATATTGCACAGCCCCACCAATTAGGCATTATTTTCTGTAAATACCTTTCAGAGAAAAATGGGTAGTGTCTATTGTAAAGATTTGTTTAAAATATTTGATTGTATGATCTCACCTATATTATGTTATGGAGCTGAAGTTTGGGACACCAGTTATTGTAAACTCATACAGTTTGTACAAATTAAATTTTGTAAGTATTTTTTTAAAAGTCGGTAAATCTACTTGTAATAATGTGGTACTTGGTGATTGTGGTAGACTCAAATATTGGTGTCATTATTTGTACTTACCCCCAAATAGACTCCCAAAACACTGTTATGAAATGCTGAAATCACTAGATGATGTTGGACGTGTGACTTGGGCAACTAATGTTAAAAATGTTTTATTTATTTATGGTTTTGGCTATGCATGGGTCAGTCAGGATATTGGAAATGCTAAGTATTTCATGTTTCTTTTTAAACAAAGCTGACTTATAATTTAAAGCAATCCTGGTATATACTTCCATTGAAAATTCACACAAAACTACTTATTATTGTCAGTATAAAACCCTATTAGATATAGAAAAATACTTAAATTGTAACATTTGTTTAAATTTGGTGAAAGATCTGCCCTTTCAAAATTTAGATGTGGAAATTTTAACTTAGTAATAGAGACTGGGAGATATGAAAGTATTGCTTCTAATGAAAGATTTTGTTTATTTTGTAAATCAAAATGAATTATTAATATTGTTGAAGATGAGTGGCATATTTTGTATATCTATGAATATTTTTCTGATGTTCGAGATAAATATATTGTGAAATATTTTAGTCAACCTCCTACAGTAAACAACTTAATACATATTATGCAATCTACCAATGTTGGTGTGATTAAGAATGTTAGTGTATATATGTGTATATAATGTACAAATTAGAATTAAGAGCAGAAGCTTGTTTATAACTCTATGTGTACCATGTATGTGATGTGTGACCAAGCATCTGTTTGTATTATGGGCCAGTGGCCTTTTACTGAATAAAACTGTCTGTCTGTCTGCCTATTGCGTAGGTTGATGCTGGTGATATCAGTCACTGCATTGTCTGATCCCGGACCTGATTATTTGCACATGGGGCATTTCATTGGATTATTGTTGACTACAGCGTTAAGAAAGATACATACATTTATTCAGTAGCGGCATGAACTTCTTCAGACATTAACTTGTACTTATGAATAAAAGTTCATGTCGAAGAAGAGGATGATTGTGTTTTTTTCTGAACCACTTATTTAAAACGTTTACTTGTTTGAAAATTTGTGATCAGGGGGGTTGGATTTATTACATCTATTGTTGTCGGTTGAGGCGCAGGGAAACGAATACGAAGTCTCGAGATCAACAGTCAAATCAGTACTAGTGAAGATTTATCGGAACGTGTACCCTGGAGATATGGAGGATGGCATGGTGTCAACACTAGGCATTCTCCATATTCAGCTGAAGTCAGCAATATGGTAATAAGGCCACTGAAATGTCACTGAACTCAACGCCACACGGGCACGTTCCAAGCATACATAACATAACACGCGTTGATTACCTAAGCTGCCTGAGAGGAGCTCGAATTACAGTTTACGATTATCAGATGATATGCGGGAAAATATGTTTAATCTGGGATGTCGTAATGTTGGGACCGAACCTACAAGGCAGAAATGCATAATCGGCCGACACGTAATTGCTGTGGCATCTGTATCATGAATTGTCCCATAAAACCAAGTGTGCCTGTAAATAATACTCACGCTGAAATCCGATTATGGCCTGTGAATACCAGTTCAGTTTATACGTGGAAGGTATATGCGAGCTCGACTAATGTGATATTCTGTATTTTCTTTGAACCAACCTAGAGCAGGAACACTATGGCCGCCAGGAAGAGAGTTGCCATCATTGGAGCAGGCCTATCCGGTTTGGCGGCCATCAAGTCGTGTTTGGAAGAAGGCCTGGAGCCTGTGTGCTACGAACAATATGACAACTTTGGTAAGTCCAAACAAGCGCGTGACCATTGGATCGAGTGTGTGTATTTGACAGTGAGTTCAAGTGTGTGTATTTGACAGTGGGTTGACGTGTGTGTATTTGACAGTGGGTTCAAGTGTGTGTATTTGACAGTGGGTTGACGTGTGTGTATTTGACAGTGGGTTCAAGTGTGTGTATTTGACAGTGGGTTGACGTGTGTGTGTTTGACAGTGGGTTCAAGTGTGTGTAATTTACAGTGGGTTCAAGTGTGTGTATTTGACAGTGGGTTCAAGTGTGTGTATTTGACAGTGGGTTCAAGTGTGTGTGTTTGACAGTGGGTTCAAGTGTGTGTAATTGACAGTGGGTTCAAGTGTGCATTTGACAGTGACCGGGGTACATTGATTGGCTCAGCCAATCAGATAATGACATTTATGTGTGAGGTAAGATAATAGATAATGTAAATGAAATTATGGAAGACGTGCGGATACTCAAAAATCGACGAGATAGTCCAAAATCTGCGTGCCCTTTCGCTCTATACATTGTTTTACCGTCCTACGATACATTTCAAATAATTACAAATGACAAAAAATATTTAAAACAGTCGTATCCGTGTCAAACAAATTTTATGAAACTCAAGAATGTACTCACTTTCGATCGTCAGATACTATTACTGCTTACTCATTTCATAAATCTTACAATACGCGGGGGCTCGTGTGTTGTTCCGGGGTGATGGGGTAGCCCAGTGGTTAAAGCGTTCGCTCCTCACGCAGAAGACACGGGTTCGATTCCCCACATGGGTGCAATGTGTGAAGCCCATTTCTGGTGTCCCCTGACTCCCCAGACTGAATATTGCTAAAAGCGGTGTAAAACTAAACTCACTCACTCGTGTGGTGTTCCAGTTACAGAAAAGGTTCACAAAAATATTGTCGTCTTTTTCAGGAGGAGTTTGGTACTTCACGGAGGAGTACAGGGAAGGTCAGGGTGCAAGGGCCTTCGACAACCTGACAACAAACATCAGCAAGGAGATGTTCAGCTTCAGTGACTTCCCCTTCCCTTCCCACTTCCCGCCATTTCTCACGTGCAGTTTGGTCCATGAGTACATCGAGATGTATATCGAGAAGTTTGGACTCCGCAAGCACATCCACCTCAACACCAGAGTAGTCCAAATCAGGAAGTCACGTGACTACAACGCTACCGGAAGATGGGAGGTAGAAGCGGAAGAGTCCCAAAAGTCTCAAACGGAAGTCTTTGACTTTGTCATGATATGCTCGGGTTTCTTTAAGAAGCCTCGATTCCCTGACGTCGAAGGAATGGATACTTTCAAGGGAAAGATTGAGCACTCCATGAAGTTCAAAAATGCTTTGAAATACCAGGGCATGGACGTACTTGTGGTTGGTAAGTAATAGCTGTTGCGGTTGTAAAGCATTATGAGAAAGAACACAACTCATTTAACTCAACATTACGGGATGATCCATTTTCCAAATTATGGAATCTCAGAAGGGAAATTGTGGGACTGTTTCCCTCAAGAGAACAAATAAAAAGTGTCCAAATTCACCAACGTCCGACAATGTAACAATGCAACATTTTGAACACTTGTATTGTTTTGGTTGATTATGACAATTCTTCCTCGTTTGTGTTTGTAAGGGAGACAATGTCCCCAGTCCGGTGTCCCTATCCCTGGAGTCATCTTCTGATGTTCTGGAAGTCCAACCACTCATGTGAGCCACAATGTTGGTTTGCTTGTTCCAGACTCGAATAATTACAGGTCAACATAAATGATTTCGGCGTCAAGGAACTTGCATCGTCACAAAAAACTGAGTTTCCATGACGTGTTACTCTCGGGCCAATGCCGATTGTTTCACATATACTAACGGAAAAAAGTAGCTGTGCATAACATAAGATTGCATAAGATAAAAATTATTTGAAAGTTATAAAAATAACCCTAAATACACATGTAGCAAAGCACTTTGCATGGAATTCGATGTCACGTATCGCGCGTGGCATGTGCACTTTGTGCACAATGAACTTACTCACTTTTAGCATGCTTTTTGACACCTGAAGTTTACACACCTGATATTGAAAATTATAGAACGGTTGATTATTCTCTTGGCTCTGAATCTGTGGAAAACTCGTCAATTTCAACCTAAACTGCGCGTACGTCATGGTACGGCTTACAGAAAATCAGCGTCTCGGCACTGTGGGTATGCTGGTGACTGGAATGGCCCGATATGAAGTGGCCAGACATTTTGATGTCCACGATCTCATCTCTATGAAGACGTTTCAGCATAATGGAAACACGAGAGATTTGCCTCGGACCGGCCGTCCAAGCGTGACGTCACGTCAGCAAGAAAACCACATATAACTGACCCATCTAAGGAATCGATTGCAGACTGCCAGTTTGACTGCTCGGACCATTCCTGACTTCCGTCCAATCAGTTCCAGGTCTGTACGGAGGGAGCACAACATCCGGCAACGACGGCCTGCAATACGTCCAATTTTGTTAAGCATCACCGACAGGCACGTCTTGCCTGGTGCAGACATCATCTACAGTACAGGCGACACGATTTGGATGGTGACGAGTCGAGATTTCTGGACAGTTCAGATGGCAGGGCAAGAGTGTAAATGGCGAAGTGACTATAAGCTTACGCGTGCTTTGTTCAACGTCGACAGTTTATTAGCGAAGCGATATGGTATGGGGAGGCATAGTCGGACAGAACTGGTCATTGGTAATGGCAATCTGAAAGGTCTGCGATATAGGGATTAGATCCCGTCCACATATCGCTCGTGTTGTGACAGATTTCCTCAGACAGCAGAACATTCCGGTACTCCCCTGGCCAACTGTTTCTCCCCTACCGAGCACTCTTGGGATTGAATGGAGAGACGTTTACGTCAAGCCCAGAATCAGCCACTGACGATAGCTGAATTGGGACAAAAGCTGGTTCAGACAGGGAAGATCATTCCCCAAGCTTTCTTCAATCGCTTAGTGTCGTCTATGCGTCGTCGTTGTCAAACCTGCATCAACGCCAATGGCGGACGCACAAGATACAGAATTTATGAACTGACTTTTTACACATCTCTTCAAGGGCGTGTCACGATGCCTAGCGTTATCATACATATTCTGATATGATCCTGTCAACAGTTAAACAATAATTAAGGAAAACACCACAAATCATGTTTATTATGTTTTTGCATTACAAATGGCATAACATCAAACAATGCACAGTTACATTATTCCAGAAGTATGCATACCATGATAGGATCCAAATGGGGTAACCCATGACAGCTGTTGCTATGGAAACGTTTGAATATGCTTATTCTGTCTTACTCCGTATTTTATATTTTAAGGAAATTCAAATTCCTCTGGAGATTTGGCTGCGGAGTCTGCACGCTACGCACGCCAGGTAAGTATTCCCACAGAACCATATACTGAACAACATTAGAAACACACCACACTAAAATGCACCGACGATGCTCAGATATCATGGGTACATTTCAGTTTGACAGGGATATTTCGTATCATATGGGTGGTGCGTTTCTAATGTTGTTCAGTATATATTTATATGATGGCGCCTATTTCTGTTTAAATAGTTCTTATTTAGGCGGTGGGGTAGCCCTGTGGTTAAAGCGTTCGCTCGTCACGCCGAAGACCCGGGTTCGATTCACCAAATGTGTGAAGCTCATTCCTGGTGTCCTCCGCCGTGATATTTCAGAAATATGGTTATGAGAGGCGTTAACACCATAAGGTCCAAAGTCCAGAAGTTGCCACACTAAAAGCGATATAAAACTAAATTCACTCACTATCTCTTACATATTTGTACAGGTGTATTACAGCGTGGGAGAGGGTATGTGGATGATACCGTCGTGTGTGGAAAACGGGACGCCTTACGATTTACTCCTCATTAAAAGATCCATTATGCGGACAGCATCAAAGTTTTCAAAGGTCACTGCAGACATGTGTAACAGCCGACTTGATCATGTTCTGGGCGGACTAGCCCCATCAACCCCCCCTGCAAACAGCAGACTAATGGTGAACGATAAAGTCCAGTACAACATCGTGAGTGGAAGGATTAAAGTTGTCAAATCACTGACTCGTATTGGACCCCATGAAGCTGAATTTGACGATGGCACTATCCTCAAAAACGTGGACGCAATTTTATTTGCAACAGGATATAAATTATCTGTAGACTTCCTTCAGGAACCTTTGATAGGAGGTAAGGATGGCAGAATTATATCACCAAGCATGCAAATACTTGTCCAATCTGTGTTATTGTTTATTTGTTGCTTAACGACGCACTCAGCAATATTCGAAACTATATGGCGGCGGTCTGTAAATAATCGAGTTTGGACCAGGCAATCCACTGATCAAAAGCATGAGCATCGATCTACGCAATTGGGATACGATGCCATGTGTCAATCAAGTCAGCGAGCCTGACCACCCGATCCCGTTAGTCGCCTCTTACGACCAGCATGGGTTACTGAAGATCAATTCTAACCTGGATCTTTACGGGTCATGTGCCATTGTATTTGTATCCAGTTTGTTGTCATGTTGTCCTGTTGTCCATGATCATTTGTTGTAAAAAACGCTGCCTCTTCCCCATAAAGTCAACAGTACTTCCTGAATCAGTGACCGTAAAATATATTCCCTCTTTAAAACTTCACCCATTTACCCATAGATAATAGATGCAATGCGAATAATATATTTTACCATTTTAACATAACCACAGAGATTAAATATTAAGGTTTTAACTGAAATATATGATACACGTACAATGTTTCAATTCAGTAACAATGGACGATCCTTTTGTTATTACAAATATTATAGGGTACAATTGAGCTTCACTTCTATCTGCAGAAAAAAGCAAGCTGAGCCTGTACAAGATGATGTTCCCATTGTGGCAACATCACACCCTGGCACTGGTGGGCTGTATTGATACCGATGGTTCCTTTCCGCCAGTAGCCGAGTTGCAAAGTCGTACCGCCGCCAGGGTGTTCGCTGGTTCTCACAGACTGCCTCCCATGGAAGCCATGGCGGAGGAGGTGGAAACGAAAAATGCATATTTTCTCCAGCGATTTGGACGCTACAAATATCTGGTTGGTAATTTATTAAAGTAATGTCACATTAGCTACAAAATCTAAAACATATTTTTAACATATTCTTAATTGAATTAATGCAAAATATGTTCCTCTTCTGTGACTTTTTCAATGTTAACACACCCATGGCATAGCCTACAGAAAGACTAGCTTCACTGGACTGTTTGTTTGTCTGTTTGTTTGTTTGTTTGCTTGTTTAAAGCCGCAATATTCCAGCTATATGACGGCGGTCTGGAAATAATGGAGTCTGGACCAGACAATCCAGTGATCAACAGCATGAGCATCAATCACTCGGGTGCAATTTCGAAGGTGTTCCCACATTGGTTTTATTGATGGTACAGGGAAACATTTTACATTCCAGATTCCAAATTTAATCTATAGGGATGAACTAGCAGCGGAACTGGGTGTGGCCCCTTCCTGGTGGGACCTAGTCAAGGCCGGACCCCGACTGTACTACCAGTACTACTACGGACCTGTCTTACCCTATTTCCTCCGAATTTGGGGGCCTCATCCCTGGAGTGGAGCAAGGGACGCCATAAACAATGCCGCAAAACATGGACACTACGCCAAACAAATGAGACATGTCAAAGGGCCAGATCTTGGGGATTCCAGCTACTCGTTTGGATTAATTCTTCTACCTGTAGTCGTCATCTTATTGGCTGTGATGTACAACGGTATTCTGTGAGATGTACACACCACGAATTCAAAACAATTATATTGCAATAAGGTTATGTCCGGTCCAGTCGGTGAACATCTGACGACGGAATGCAAAACGACGAAATGGCTACCAATTATAATGAGGGCTCCAGATAATTTTTCAACATCAGGAGTATGTACTGCTTATTTTTAATACCGGAGTACTGGAAAATCTTAAGAGTACATTTAGGATACTGAATGGAATTTAATGGAGTATCAGTAATCTTGTGTTTCGTTTCATATTTGCACCGAAACATTAGTACTCTTGTGTAAACAGGTAAAAAAACACGAAAACAATACTTTTTTTCAGATAAATACGTCTGTAAATGATTCTAAGACCGTGCACCATTGCTGTGGTGCGTATCTGCTACGTTTCATAAATTGTTTCCTATCGTATCGTGCATATCATTTATCCGTACATACGCAGATACGGCCCTTATCTGGACCCTTATTTTATCCGTATTATCCGGGGAGCGGTGAGGTGTGTTAGGCAGACATTGTAAATACTCCTCCTATGTCATATCGGTAGCCTAGTGGTTAAAGCGTTCGCTCGTGACTCGTGACTCGGGTTCGATTCCCCACATGGGTACAATGTGTGAAGCCCATTTCTGGTGTGAAAATGGTTTAAATGCCTGTAACACGATATCCAGTGAGATATTAAACCATGTTATTACTCTATGATCAACAAGGACAGACTAGTGAGTGAATGAATTTAGTTTTACATCATGATGGCTTTTAGCAATATTCCAGCAATATCACAGGGGGGACACCAGGAAGTGGTTTCACACATTGTACCCATGTGGGGAATCGCACCAAGGACTTCGGCGTGACGAGCGAACGGTTTAACCACTAGGCTACCAGCTGGGCCCTGTGTTTTATGGTAATATAGTGACATACGGTTATTGACTTATAGTTATACCGGATTATTTTATCGTAGCTGTTTCCTCCATCTAGCAAGGCTATATCTATTCACAACTGATGTTGGTCTCTATCATTATACAATAAACTACCAAGCTGGTTGATGTGACAATAAGCAGGAAAATGAATATCATTTAACTAAGAATGTCTGTTGTTTGCTGAACTCAGAAAACAGTTCATAGATAAATAGTATATTCCTTATACAGGTATTTTGTTCTATTATTATCCATTAACAATGCACTAAGAGCGATAAAAACTGCCAATGTACAAACCGTATGCTCGAGAACATTTCATATTAGGGCTGGCTAAAAAGATTGATAAGTCTGAAATATCTTATTCTGCATCTTAACTCATTGTTCTAAAACCATTGTAAAATGATTGAAAAAGTTAAATACTAGCAATATGTGTGATACCACCCAAATTGCTGCTGTAATATGAAAACTATGAGTGAAAATCATCGCTTTCGTTCTTGTTAAAGACATCATGGCTCATGTGAGGTAAAAAATGGCTACGAAAAGCTGGTATATCACAGCCCTGTCATTATTTTATTTTTGTGTAGGAATTGTTATTTTTGGAAATTAAATGCACCTTAACAGCAAAACCAATAGATGTCAGCTAACTACCGACGACAAAGCAACTGAATCTGTCAGTCAGGATGCCACTGCCAAAGCCTTAGGCACATGCTCCGACAAGAACACTTCAGCAGCTCTGGACAGGTTGCACTGGCTTCGGGAAAGTGTGACAAAAAAAGGCTTCCACTGTTCTGGGCAAGTCCATCCCCACTCAGCAGGCGAGGGCACCTGCCGATATGGCACTGTGGTGCAGCCCCAGTAATGCCCACCTTGCAATACTGCCCTCTTGATATGTTGCTGTAGGGCAGCCTTGGTCGGAGGAAGACCTGACACCTGACGCCCTTTGTGAATGAATACGTTCTTTCTGACTTCATTGATAAAAGAGCACGTTGCTGTCCTGTCATAAAGGAGTATGGTGAGGTACTCCAGAAAAGCCTCCGTCTCTTCAGCAATTTGCTCAGGTGCATTGTCCAGCTCATAGAAGGTTGCAGTGGATTCATCATGTGTCTCCCAGACTTTCCGTGCAGTCTTCTTTCCAACCTGGACAAGATGGGACACAGTATCACAGCCTGTTGTAAGCGTGAAACTTTGTGGACCAAGTGAAGCTCATATCTCATGAGCTGAACTGCACCTAAAGTCCGTTACACAACCGAAAGCAATCCAGAGTTCTATATGTTGTGTCTGCTCTAGCTGCTGCACAACTGCCACTGCCAATACTACCACATCGGTATCTACAGTTCGAACAAAGATCCCGTGGAAGCCCTGCATAACAGCATCTCTGACAGGCACCATTGTCCTGGAATCTGCTTCCTCATTGTCTCGTGGAGGTGAGCATAGTACAGTGGCACCATCAGTAACAATGAGATGCTGGTCTGCCGATGTCTGTGCCATTAGTTCATTATTCAGGAATTTGAACAAGTCAGTGTTGTTGTTGCTCAGGCGTAGGAACTGCTGCCAGTTCATTGGTGTGGGGCTAGACTCCCCAACCCGTCTGCGTTGATAGGCCACTGGCACGCTGTTCTCTTGTCTGTGCCTCGAGACTGTTATCAAAGTAATGGTCGCAAACATGCACTGGTTGGATGGGCATGTCGGGTTCGAGTCACATGTGATGCCTTTAGGAAGGATTCTGCAATGCCTGGCGTGGCAACTTCTGCTTCTTGCAGAAGTCCCACCCAACCACTCCCCTCCAGCCAATAACCCAATGTCTGGATCCTGTACTGTGCTGGCATGGTATGCCGCCCAAGACAGAGTGGACTCTGCAGATACTTCATTATCATGATGCTTCTCAACATGACTCAGCAAGTCATAGTCTTTTATCATCTCCTTAGTCAAGGTGTTGTTAGATGAGGTCAGATTGCCAGAGATTACCACTACAAAGACATCACTTGTTGGTAGACCTATAGGCTTTATTTCAGTGTATGTGATGGGCAAGTCCTTCATCTTTCTCAGCTCCTTCTCTTGGGTTACTGAATTAGCGAAACCTCGACCATTGTCCTCATCCCCCATGGCATCTTGCGGAGTGATATTCTGGAATAAGGACAAGCTGGTGCCATGGAATGAACTTGTATATGTTGCAGAGGTAGGGTTATGATCGATGTTGTCTCCAGCACTCGTGATGAAGTGACCCTTTCGAAGTTGGGGAGGGCAAACTGTGCCAATGTGATGGCAATAGTCACATTATATCAAGTCGATATACCAAGGGAAGAAAAATCTGTCAATCTGCTGTCTTTCTCTGGTTAATGCATGGGCCTTAACATAGAGGGGTAGTGGGTTTCACGACCCTTGCTCCCTACGTCTCATTACATTTCTGTCGTATGTTTGATCCGTAATGTTGATTAGCATGCTGACTAGTGACAAAAGGGATCGCGGAACAGATTCCACTTGACTGTTGTGGTCAAACACTCCAGAGAATTTATTTTAATTGGCATAGAGTCCAGCTCACTAAACTGGATGATGCTACTTGCTACAGTTTCATAGCCTATCAGTTGGCCATATCAGAGATTCTTTCATGTCCAACTCACAAAGAACACACTTAGTCAAATCAGTTGCTTGTATAGATGCAGGCGAAGCAATTGCCATTTCTGAGAATATTCAGATAGACTACTTGACTTTACTGATTACACAATGCCATGATTGACTATCACTGCCAATTAGTAATTATTACATCCAATCTACACTAGCGCACCTGCAAAATATGGGAACCTTATTTGATTAAGGCCACAGGGGCTACCCTTTTACCACCTTAACACCACACATTCAAGTATGGGATACAACTATAGTACTGTCGGAAATGCTAGAAAAATGCTCTTTGACTTATATTTAAAATTCAGAGGTATTACAGTTACTTAAATAACAAATATCACTTCAAGAAACATCTACCTAACGTAGACCGAGGGAATAAATTTTGAGACATGCTCTAAAATGTGTTTTTACTGATGAAAATACCCAAAACTTAGAAAAATAAGGGGGTAGTGGGACGTTATTTGATACAAACATTAACTGCCTGTGTTACGTCATCAGCATCCACGGTATCGACAGGTGAAATTGACACCTGAGCACACGCTCGGGCGAGGGGTCATCTCAATAGATGTTTTCTGCAAAATGTTGAATATGTGTACGTAAAGTATACGTATCGGTTATGTAAGGGATCATTTGTGTATGTGTGTTTGTTTTGAAATACCCATACGAATTACTGTACATTGGAAAGAATCCTATCACTTGTGTTATCTTATCGATTGATTGTAGAAATGTGCAACGTTTTAATAAATGTTTTGCATGTCAACAGTATATTTCATTGAAAAAATATGGATGTAATTCGAACAAATTAATCTAGTTGAGAACATTGGCCACAGATTTAACGAAGTCACTGGTGTAGCTTCTTTAGAATATATATATTCTTCTTCTCATAACGTTTGTAGACCGCCCGTCTAAACACTCCCTTGTCAAAGTTGTCAAGGATGGTTTTACGTCCCGGTTTTGCATTTGAGACGGTCCCTGTCTTGTATGATTTGTTTACAATATTTTAAACTTGTTGGTAAGACATACCAACAGCTCTGCAAGTTCTGTAATAAACCCTTTCTAAACTAATGAAATGTTTACCTCTGTCTTTTTTAAGCAGAAAAAAACTATAAACCTTGGCAACAATCGACTGCAAATCGTTGGCCATAGTGGACGTTATGATAAAGATGTGCATGCATGACGGGAAACTTATTTATCAAGACTTAACATTTATATTAAATTTCTTCAATAAAGAAACGATAATTAAGTAAAGTAACACAAACATTCAACATTTATTTGTTTAAGAAACACGTTAATTCATATTTTTACACCACCTGTATTATTAGCATAAATGTAAAGACTATTTCAGATTTCTGTTGTTGAACTCTGAAAAAATCTTAAGTTGCTGTTTTGGTACCAAATTCTCTCCTGTAAACTGCCCTTTAAATGCATGGGAATGTTAAATCGGTTGAAATAAAAATTAGGTAGACAATAGACGAGT